GGAGGAAAATGAGTGCCAAATCAGCCACCAAAAATGCTGGGAGGATGCTTTGCATTTGCATTGAGTCCCGTGCACTTTGCTCTATTGTTTATTGCTAAAGCTGGATGAAATGTCTCAAAAGGAAATTTTGTTGTTGTTGTTGTTGTTAAAAAACATCTTTTTGGGACAGCCATATTTTCAGAACCATGCTTTTTGTTTTAAATTTCTGATGTATCGAAAATGTTGCTGACATTTTCATAGATCATTTTCAAAATCAGAAAGTGTTTTTTTTTTAAAGAAATGTTTTTAACACTTTGAAGTAACTGCTAATTTGTTTTGTTTAATATCCCACCCAGTGACTAAGCTGAGCAAAGAAGTTCAGTTTTGACATTTTCCTATTTTGAACGCAGTCAGTGCTGAAGGGAAAATGGAAAAATGTGTTAGGGAAAAAAAATCATGAAAAGTTTTGAACGATGAAAAGTGAGACAAGGATGATTTGGAAACTTTTGATGGTTTTTCCCTCCACTTTTGACCAGTGCTGCCTGCAGTGCTGTACGGTCAGCCATTCTAGGCACATCCAAAATGGAAACTCAGACTCAAATGGGAGCAATCCCTCAAGATGCCGAGCACGCAAGCCCAGTCCAGTGAAACTTGCACGCACATGCTTAAACTCACAAACAGCCCCATTGAAGTGAGTGGACTATTTGTGTGCTTGATGTTAAGCATGTGCTTAAGTGCTTTGCTGGATCAGGCTTTGAGCCCGGAGTGTGTGGATACAGCTTAGACACGGAGGATCTATTTACACAACAAACTCCTCCCCGCAGCAGCAATTCTCAGAGCCGACTGAGGTTAAAAATATCAGTGTGGATCTTCGGGCTCGGGCTGAAGCCTGGGCTCCATGACCCTCCCGTCTTGCCAAATTTCAGATCCCAGGCTCCAGCCCGAGCCTGAACGTCTACACTGTTGTTTTTAGCCCCACAGCGTGAACCCCAGGAGCCTAAGTCAGCTGGCCTGGGCTCTGAGACTCGCTGCCATGGGTCTTTTTTTTTGCTGCGTGGACATCCCTTAGGGCCTGATCCTCCTCTCCCTTGCCCTTTGTAACTCCATTGACTTCAGAGGAGTCACTCCTGATGTACTCCTGGTGTACATCAGGAAGGGGATTGATCCCACTGAAGCTAGTGGCCAACTCCTCATTAGCTTTAATTCTGGATCAGTCCCAAAGTGAAGGGGAGAATCAGGCCCTGAGTTTTAAATGTTTAGACCAGATTCTGAAACCAGATCCACACGGGTAAATCCCTACCAGTCTGACTGTAGGATTTGGGCTTTCGACTTTAAATATCTTTTTTTTTTTTTGGTAAAGACAGTATTAAATATTTGAACTGGATATATTTTCTTTAACGGCTGAACTAATTTCCGAAGCTCTGTGGTGAATCAATACAGAGAGTGGGAGGGTGGAGAAACTTTGTAGATCAATGCAGGGGAAACAGAACAATGGGAGATCATGTATCAGGTCTGCAGAACTGGGCTCTGAATAAAAGTTGCTAAAAACACTCTTGTATTTAGTCTGAACATCCAGTTTGCTTCCTGTTTTCCCATCTCTGTGAAGTCAGAGCGCTGGGGTATAGGAGGGCAGGGTCAAACAGGAAGCCATGGGATGCTGTCAGTTGAGTTCTATGGAAAGATGATGCCCTGACACAAAGGTGCTGAGCTCCCATTGGACTCTACAAGAATGGCATGTGTTCAGGCCCTGTGAATATCAGGGCGTTCGTTTTTAAGCAAGCTTTATTTGATTGAAATTCAGTCAGGCCCGGCGTGTCAGAGAGCTTAGCCTGGCTTAGCAGGCTGGTAGGTGTAAAGCTGAACACATGGAAAAATGTTGCAAGCTGATTAGGGAGGCGTTTAAACCAAGAATGTTGAAGGCAGATGGTGGCTATGGGGCCAGGGAAGTCCAGGTGTCAGAGTACATGTCTGGGGCTAAGACCTGATCCCGCCCGACATACAAAGAGGACTGGTGCAGATGAAGGAAAGCGTGATGGAAGGAAGGTGAAAGGAGCATGCACTGAATGAAGAAAGAACAGTCTGCCTTCTGAAAGAGCAGTTCTCATCTAGCATCCGGAGCATTCAATGCCTTTAACCCTCAGCAAAGGGGGACTGGCAGCTGTGGCAGGTGAGAGATTGCAGAAGTGAGAAAGGAGGGCTGATGCAAAAGGGGATTGGAGTTCAGCTCAAGCTGGAGGAAGCAAAGGAAGATGCTGATGTTGTGCTGCTGTAGGCCAGGTGCTCCTCCTCCCTGCTAGAAACTAGATGCAAAAAGAGAATATGTGAAGTCAAACGCCCGTCCAGAAGGTGACTGATTCATAGCTGTGTACGGCGGGCTGCGCTGTAGTGGGAAGGCTGAGTGAGGCTGCTCCCTGCACTTTGAGTAGGCTGAAGGCATCTTGATGGAGCTTTTGAGTGATAAAGGT